TTTCTTTCTTCAAGGCATGAGGAATGACAGGAACAAGGCACATGCAGTCTGCCACAGCAGGAATGGAGAATAAAAGCTGCTAATGGATGTAGTAACAGTGTATGAAGGTGTTTTTGCAGTGGGCCGTAAAATAATTATTTTCCTCATAGTCTAATTACATGGTCAGAGCTTTGGAGCCACTGAGGGCACCCACATTTCACAGACTCAGAACAGCTGCAGCAAATTGAGCCCATCAGCTCCTTCATCTTCACTGAAAGGCATTTCCTGCTTTTTAATCACTCAAGTCCTCTGTAAGACAAACATACTCACATAGGTAACAACATACCTCTCACTGAACCAACCGACATGGATCATTTAGAGTGTTGACTGCCTTGGCCTACAAACCTTGCTTCACTTGCAGAAATTAACGCTTGCAGGAAGTCTTTAGCCTACCCAGGTCAGCTGAGTGCCCATTTCTCTTCAGAAAATGAATGGAAAGCAGGTGCCCAAAAGCCTTTCCACCAAATACATATAAATGAGCTGTAAGGCAAGGCGGTGGTGATTCAGAGCAAGCGGATCCCATCCTCAGCCATGCCTGAAGACATTTCTTCCCTATTCACCAATCACTTAAGATTACTTAAGAAAGCTTAAGATTACACCTGATTTGAAGCATCCCCTGACTAAATACAACAAGCCATAAGCCGATCACCTTGTACAAGTGCAAGCACACAATAGTAATCACAGCTAATGACTCTGCTAAATGCTAGGCTGCACACACCTCCTTGTTTGGTGTTTGTTTTGTATACAGAAGGTAACATCGACTGCATAACAAGGATGCCAAGTTACAGATGGGGTTGTGGAATCATATTTGACAGGCGATTCGAGTAATCTGACAGAAATGATGACTTAATCACCACGACAGATTCCAAATTCCCAGATAGAATTCCACCCAGGTTAATCAAATTTCCCTGCAATATTTTTTGCCAGGAATAGACTCTTGGCTGGCTTGTTTTCTCTCATGCAGACGTCACATGGCTTTGACAAGAATGCAAATAGGTTGTGTTTTTATTGTTGAAAAGATGACTTTTGAGGCTCTAAAGCTGAGAAAGGTGCCTTTGAGAAGGTTTTGGGTTGCTCTGCTGTGTTTTCTCTAATGAAGTTGTATTTACATATGGTGGGATGTACTCTGCAAAAAAAGGGAGAGGGGAAGATTTAACTAGTTAATTGTAATTCCAGGCCATGGCTGGGTCCTGCTGCTGCCCTCAACATAGGCAGTGGCCAGATTCTCATTGATTTCAGGGGGTTTACAGGATTGCATGTTTCACAACTGTTTTCTTCCCATTTGGTTCCCACCTCATCAACCCTGCTTGGGATGTGCCCAAGGAGAAGCGGTGCTGTGCTTGGCCTTAGGCTTTCTTTGGCCTCGATAACAGGTCAGGACATGGATGGAGCCCCCACTTTGCTGTCAGCGCCGCCGCAAGGCACTGAGCAACCCTGGGCAGTGGGCATTTGCCTGCATCTGGTTGTAAAACAACGGCATGGTGTGTTTTGAGACCCAGGGATAGAGAGCGTGGGTAGATCATAACGTTTCTGGATGCACAACTGTGTTCAGTAGAGCTCTCTAAACCACTGCTGAGGAGATGCTGTTCCTTACAGCCCGTACTCCAGTCTGGTTTGGATATGCCCATGCCAGAGGAAAGTGTCCATGCTCAGAAAGAACTTGCCTGAGAGCTGTGCTGCTCTCCTTAACTATATGGTCTGAGCACAGGATGATGTTAATGTCTATAAGTTACTTACTGCAGTTATTTTTCTTAGTCGTGCCTATTTATTAATTGCAACTGTGCATTCATAAATACTGCATTTTCATAAGCAAAGGTTTCTTTAAGCACAGAAGAAAATTTTTCCTGTTTTTCTACGTGACAACATGATATACTGAGAAATCACTTACCTTGAGACCCATAAGTGTACAGCTTTGTGATGTATAGCTACAATAACAGCTTTCCGATTAAGACATGAAATCCTTCATTTCAGTAGATGACATGATTCTAGCGAGTGGCATCTAATTTGAAACAGGTTTATATCATCTATAATCTTTTGGAGGGCCTCGGTAAGCGCAGCTATTTTATTATTTTATAGCCTGCAGTTATACAAGCAAGATATAAAGCGCACAGATTTTCTCTTTTGCTCATCGTAGAGTGAAAAGATAGTACCTATTTAGACTTTGTCTCTGCCCCTTTAATTTCCTTATTCACTGCACACTTCTTTGAGATTCATTCTTTTTTCTTTCCCTTCCTTTTCTTTTCTGCACCTGCTTTTAAATATTTTATGGGTAGAGAGCTTATAATATGTATTGTCACGGCAGTTGTCTCTAGAGGTCAGCAATGAGTTTAATAATGAGATGCGAACCAGTGACTCTGTAAAACCCATTTCAGGTTATAAATGGCATGTTTTATTGAATCTAGTGTTAAAGGTTGTTAACGTATCAATTGGTGATGGTCAGGGTTAAACAAGCTTCAACACGAGCCCTCTTATGTTAGGAAACTGTCAGTAACGTATTTTTCCACCACCTTCTTCGTCGAAGCCATGTTTGTGTATCGCATCCATTTTACCACGGTTATTCTGCAGTTTAAACTCTCCAGGCCTGATCTGAATCTTTTACTAGTGTTGCACCAATATAATACTGTTCAGCACAAAGGCATCACTCCTGACTTCGGCTTGCTGGTGCAAAGAGAGCATGGACCATGGGGTTTTAGCAGGAACTCCTGAAATAAGTCAAAACCCAGATGAAGCTCACTTCTTGCTTTGTGAACAAGAGAGCATTGACTTAGTGACATAGTATTTGTTAGGTGGCACTGGTCTTTATGTTGTGACCCTGGGGCTGCAAAAATAACTTTTTCACATTAATTTGGTCTAAAGTGTTTTTCTCTGGTTCAGGTGGTTTGAAAAATTGAAAGGTTTTTAACACTGAGTTGCCTTTATTCAAAATAACTCCACTTAGGGGCATATAAGTGCAGCTAGAAAGAGCGCGATAGATTCTCTGCTACAAAATGTATGTAGCAATGGATTTGGGTTGGGTTTTTCTTCTCTAACCTTCATATTCCCAAATTTACAATATTCAGTTTTCTTTCTTCTATTTTCTCACCACTCATTGCTCCTCAGAGATGTCAGTATATGCAACTGTCTCACGGAGCACGTTGCATCCTTTTCCTTCTTTCACTTTTTTTGCTTTCCAAGTGGACACGCTGCATCACATTCCCATGAATTTGAAGTCTCCTGCAGTGCCCAGTGTATTGTTGATGCCAGGATAAATGTTAAGCACTAGTTAAAGCAAAGTAAAATTAAAGTTCCCTTTTTTCTATAAATTAGATCGAATAAGAGTGGTGGCAGACAAGTGCTGGGCTATTGAAGTCCATTTGGGAAACAAATAATTCAAAGAGAACAGAATTGTTAAAATTGAAGCAAATTTGTGCATCCTGGTGACTACATCCACCGTGTGGCTTAGCCTTTTCCTTAGGGCACAGTGGGGAGCTTTGCAAGCAGTACAAGGAATGCATCGATTCACAGGGCTGGGGAGCATTCTGAACTTTGAGTAAATCTTACAGGAACATTCACAGCCATACTTGATGTTTTCTAAAGAATCTAGCAACTGCGTCCCTGGAGGTTAAGTGGCTCCACCAAAAGCAATGCAGATTTGGTCTTCTGAGCTGCTTTGAAAGCGCATTTGAAATGAGTGCATGGATGTTCTATCCTGCTCAGCTGGTTTTGTTTCCCAAAGTTTGCCATAATAGTCTTTTAAACCAGAATTGCCTCTGACATTTTCAGGCAATGCCCTGTTCTGCTGCACTGAGAAATGATAGAAAAGCAGAAAGAGCATAGGTTTTTACTTGTTCATATGAAATGGTGAGGAATTGCTGAGGAGAGAAAAGGTAGCATGTCCCTGCTGCTGCTGAAAGGTTTGTACAGTCGAACCCCTGCAGTTCTGCAGGCCCCTATGAAAGAAAATAAAAGTGGGGTTTTTTTTGCAAGCTTAAACACCTCCCACGTTGAAACTCAATGTGAGGTCAGTTCTGAAAGTGTTTGTGAAACTGCCACACAATTTCCCTTCATCCATCAGAGTGGACATGCAGTTGGCTATAACCAATGTCCAGTTGAAAAGCCCACACTGATCAGAGGGAGCTCATCTGTTGTGTTGCTACTCCTGAAACAAAAGAAAACACCATTCATAAAATACTTGTTGGAGTTACCAACAACTCAGTGGCAGGGGGAGCATCATTTAGTAATGGAAGCTGAGGACACACTGTATGGAGTGTGCCAAGGTAGGATGATGCCATGTGATGCTCAGCGCAGCATGAAATCGGGGGCAGGTTTATTTTGCAGTAAGAGTTACATGAATGGAGAAAGAGGCTGAAAAGCAAAATGTATTGGGAGTTTTTATGGAAACCAGAGTTATGCGAAGGAAGCTTTATGAATGAATGTATAATGCATTCTAAAAGTATAATAAACAGTTATAGGAAGTTATTATAGGAAGCGCGAGTCTGTTCCTCTTTAGTCCTGAAAGAATCAGCATGTTTTTTTAATTACAAGCAAAGTTCATTTGTCAGACTTGACTCCTCTGAGTATGTTTGAAATGCTTGCTAGCTTTTAAATTACTTGAAAATTCCATCTTGGTTTTGGCAGTAGTTGAGTTCAAGGAAAAAAAGTTGGTAAAACAGAAACCAAGCATGCCATAAACTAATGAGGGCTGTAACTTTAGAGGTCTTCTGAAACTAGATACAGCAAATTAAAGTTTTATATAAGTCCTGTGGGCCCAATAATCTATTTTTTTAATCTTCCTGCTTATAAAATGTTTCTTTACCATTTTATCTTTTCTTAAAAGCCTACAATGTAGTGTTATTTTGAATTTGTATCATTTCAGCATGTTCAGTATTAATCATGTACCTTTTTAGCCTTCATTAGAAACATGATTCTTGTTTTTTTATGACTATCCAACCTGCCTTACTCTTTTTCATTTTTGTTTTTAGATGCATCATCCTATTCAGATGAAACCTGCAGATAGTGAAAAGTCAAATGGTATGTGTTTAATTTATTTCTGCTTAATTGTGACTCTTTCTAAACTAAAGCAAACACAGCATTGTGAGAATTTTTGCTTTACTTCTTGTGTGGTAAAAACGGTATCAGGTAGTTTCCCTACACCTGACATGTTGGGGAAGATGTTGACCTGCTCTCAACTCCCATTTATCCTCTGCTTTAAAGAAGGAAGTGTTCTGGAAAACAGTTTTCCTTGTACCTGCTGTATGTCACAGCCTGCCTCGCTACATACATCTTTCCCTTGTGTTCACTTAGCAGTGAGGTGATGTGGGAGCACCTGGTGCTGATAAGATGGAGATGAAATTTTAATGGTGAAAATAAAAAAGAAACAAAACCCATTCCTGTGTTAACAAACCATGTAAGCAGCTGATGGCCTCAAACATTTGTCTAAAGTTAACTTTTAGAGAATGATGCTGTTCTGAATCTGAGCCAAATTTAGCTTTTAATTATATGCTTGGCTCTGAATTGGGAAACCCACCTTGCAGCTCTCTGTATACTTATTCCTCTCAGCACTTGTAAAATGAATGCTATAAAGACAGTAATATTCATTCAGAATACCAGTGTACTGACTAAGTGGATGTATATGGCATGCAAAATAGATGGCATGCTAAATCTATTAAACATGCCAGGTTTGTATATTCAAGGAAATAAGATAATCGAATGGTAACGCAACCTGGCTGTGTGTGACTCTTTAAAAATATATACATGTGTATATTTTGCCCCTTGATTTGTTCCTGTAATTTTCTAAAATGTATGTTAAAGATATCATCTGCCTTCTTAGATTGCAAGAGCTTCATTTTCCCACAAGGCCCACATAATCAGAGCTGGTTCCTCCAACAGGCATCTTTGCACCTCATTAATTAGTAATCAGGGCAGAAGCCGTGCACTTAGAGATCTACATACCTGCAAATGTAAATGATGATTGGGCTCTAAATCTCTCCGCAAGGCTTTTTTAAGGCTTCTCTTTTTTTCTTTTTTCTTTTTTTTTGTCTGTAGTGCATCCCATTTTCAGGCTTCTCCAAGGATTATAAATTTTGGAAGGAAATAAAAACTTTGTGTTACGCTGGGTTTCCTATTATGACAGCTCTCTAAACAAAACTGGCCACAAATGCAGCAAATTAGAGCCATTACCCATTTGTAATAGAGTGGTGCTATCTCATGAGCTGAGTTTTAGCAGTGATTTCTTGCTGCATTTGAATGCTGAGAAGAGAGGCCAAGGCATCTGCATGGACAGAAGGACCAAACTTTTCAGGTCCCACTGTGCTCAAGGAAAACTTTGCTGTTGGGATCCAAATTCCACTCCCTACTATTTATTGTGCTTGCAATAGGCACAGTTTTCCCTTAAGTACAGGAACACTGGCCTGGACCCTCTGAACTATGCATAGCCCCTATTAATTCTTCCTTGAAAGGCAAATCCCACCTCAAGTCCCTTGGCAGAGTAGAAAAATAAGAGGCGATGGGCCAAAAATTGACTCTCAATGAGTTACTTGTTCATTGCCTGAAGTTTTTATTGCTAAGGGAGATTGAACATACTGGCAAAGCACTATTGGGAATTGTGCAAGTTCTGTATTGCTCTTAGGTCCTCACTGCTGCTGTTAGACTGGGGTTGTCTCCGTGGTACTCCTGCCTGCACTGCCCTATTCCTAGCGTGACAGTCAGGAAGGATTGCGTATTTTTGCTTTTCCTCCCATTTCTTTCTTATTTTGGAGAAAATACATTGACAGATCAAAGGTAGAAGTTGTCAAATTAAATGCCTTCTTAAATTTAGACTCCTGGCAGGTGTAGGTACTTCTGGGGGTGGTGAACTCTTCTTTTTTAATAACTGGGGAAACAGAAGGCAGACTAAAACCATAATGATGCTAACAGTGGTACAACTCAGAAGGACAGGACGTAGGCGCAGGGTCCACGGAGAAGGTGAGAGCTTGCAAGCAGCTTGGAGAGCAAAAAGAGAAAGAAAAGAAGTATGGGGAATGTGAAGGCCTGTTTGGCAACTGTTTCCCATATGCTTCAGGCTATACATCTGAGGAGGTATATTATCTGTGCCAAGCTGACAGTACCTCTTCAACAAGTCTGGTAAATTCAAAGGGGAAAAGAAAGAAGGAATACCGAAGAATCTTGGTTTTCATGATCTGTGCTGTTTGAGCTTTTGAGGAATGCTTGGAACCCTTTGATTTCTGAGCAGTGTTTCTGAAGTTTCAAAGAGGTTGAAGAAATTCTCTTGGTCAGAATTTCCAGATAGCCTGTGGACAGTTATATAGGAGAGTGTGAACACTCATTACAATTCTGAGCTTGCACATATTTCTGAAGGCTTGAGAGACCTGTCCAAGTTCCACCGGGAGGATGAGAGGTCCCCTAGTTCTTTGTACACAGGTTTACAAACATCATTTGCTGTGGGATAAGATGTCCCCTCCCTATCTTGAATTCCTTGCAAGAAAGTTTGAATGAGCACCAGGGGGGAATGCTCCTCCTTCTCCATCACTATTCCGGTCTTTACATGTATGCATCATTTCAGAAGCCTGTCCCTTAGCACAAAAGGCCAAGGCCACCTCGTGGAAAATGGGAGATTGGTATGGAAGAGGCACCTTTGCACACATTTGCTTTAGTGCCTGAGCACTTCTGCAGGACTGGGAGTTGGTCAGCTACCTGAAGATCTGTTTCCTTCTGAATAGGAACTGCTTGATCTTGCACAACCACTTCCATACCTTCCCTACATACAGTAGCTCATGCGTCTGAGTTATCTGTCTGCTCCTGCACATGAAGCAAAGCTAAATTTGTTCCACCGAGCGTTTAGCAGCTAGAGTTGATGGGGAAAGACTTTCCTTTAATTAATTTGTCTACCCAGAAGGATTCTGAAAATGCTTTTGTTGTTCAGAAGTGTAACATCCCTGAAAGATTTTCAGATGATGAATTTTGCAGCGTGTCTTGATCTAATCACCCATTAGATATGGTCTGACCACCTTTACATAGGTGGTTAGGGTGGTTAGGTGGTTATTTCAACCTATCTACAAAGTCTTGGTTAACTATTACCTGCCAGAAAAGCATGGTTTCAAGACTATGAAGGCTCCACTATTGCTGTATTCATCCTGACTGTTAACCACTCACAGTATTTGTCTGTTTATTTTCCTTTCTTCATACATAGGTGGTTCCTGCACTTTAGTGCAAAAAAAGCACATAAACACGTCTGTAGCCAATAATATGCTACAATTTAGCAAATACTTAGATGTGTCTTGGATCAAGATTTGAATACAGTCGATACTTTCAGGCATATATCCCATGGACAGTTGTCCTGGGTTCATGACAGTAGTATCTATTAAGCAGACCAAAGCATCCCCACTTCTGGGAAAATGACAAAATTCTCTATTAAAAAAAAGGGGGGGGTGGGGTGGGGAGGTGTAGCTGAGTAATTTAAAATTTATTTCTATTTTATTAGGAAAACTTGAAAAAATAATTTTGAAATTCCAAGTGGCACAACTTTGCCGCTTTGGAGGGAGTAATTAAATGCCATATGTTAGCACTAACACATAGCAAAGTTGATAATTAATGCAGGCAGCTCCGGATCCAGGTGTGACTTTGACAGATTGTATGCAAGGGGTTTTTCACAGGCTTACAAATAGGGATAAAAAGTCTGTTTTCCCCCTTCCCTTCTGGATGGAAAAGAAAAACAACCCAAACACAAAAATCCGAAACAACAAAAAAAAACCCTTTATACATGTTTAACTATTTCTTGATTTGCTCAAAAGAGAAGGCGACTTCTGGGTGGAAAATGCACTCTGTGACTGCAGTGCTCAAATATGTATAATAACAGGTTATAATTTTGATTTTTTCAGGACAGAATTTTGGGGTTTAGAAGAAGGAGAATGGAAGCTTGTTGAATCTTCAGGGAGATTTCCCATGATTATTACAGGGTTTAATTCCTTTGTACCATTTAGAAAACAATCTACTCCCTTATTCTCCTGGGCTAGCACAAGCAATCTAACCTGGTCTGCAAGAAGTGCTCATTTCTGAAGCAAATTGAGTAAACTTAAAAAATTAGACCCTTCAGGATGTTATTCTGCAAGCTGGATGTAGTGCTGTCAGAAGGCTGGATGCTCAGATTTAAAAAAGCACAGATAACCTTTGATGGCTAACGTAGCGCTCTGAATTCTGATACTATGCTTAGGCACCCATGCTAGTGATTGCAGAGCTAGTCTTCATGGCATTATGAGATCAACTAATTTTAAAATAGATACCAACACTGGGTTGCTGTTTTCAGGCAAAAGATTCCCACCCAAATACATCAGGCTTAGCACTGGAAGTGTCACACTAACTACCCTGGCAGCATAGCTAATCTGTGTTTATAAAATCTTTGGGTGGATTAAAGATGAACCCATAATTAGTTAATCAAGATACTGGGCAGCTTCACACCTTCCTTCATGTAACTAGAACTTCAGACCTGGATGCTTCTGCTCCATCAGTGAGGAGTACTCAGCCACCCCATCCTGATAGCTGCTTATGCATAGCTGTATCTACTTCTTGCCCCCAGAGGTGCAAAACAGCCAGAAAGTACAATTAGGCCTAGGAGCGAGGTTAAGAAAGAATGATATCAAATGCTTACCAAAGTATTTTCATTAATTTTATGGATTTTGAATTATTGAAACCTACCTCTAGTGTGGAAGAGAGGATTATCAAGCAGCAGTGAAATTGTCATGAGATGTGTGCATACAGACATTTGTGCCGTTATCCTTCCCCCCAGCCGTCTCCTTTGCCTGCTGTCATTACACAAAGTACTCACAGCTCCCAAGCTTTGTCCAGTCCCCCCGAGCTCATTTGTTGTTCCTGCAGCTGGAGCTCAAGACATTCATGTGTTACCATGTTGACCAGCTTTTGGGAGTTGACTGGAAGGTAACAGCCCTGTCTACTGTCAATAACAAGGAAGAGACTCGCATGAAAATAGCCATCCCATCTTACTGAGAGAGGCAAGATCAGTTACTCTTGGAGGAGCTCTTGGTGCTGACAGCAGCCAACTGATAACATTTTAGCTGAGTCTAAAACTGGCCACCTAAATGTAGATGACTGAAGTTAGGCAAGATGGCTTTGAACTGCCATCATTTCTCCAAACAGCAGTGGGTAGCGCCTTTCCCAATCTCAGTGCCTTTTCTGCATGTGTTTAATGGTGAGCTCCTCATTTTAGTGTATGGGAGCAACCAAACACACACAGGCAAATCAGCAGGCGTGTCTATCAAAAGGGAGGTTTGCTAACCTCTAAATAAGTTTGACTGATACTTCTTGCAGTCGGTTGTGTATTTGATTCTCAAGCCATGCCTGCATGGCAGGTAAGAGTTCATTTTAGAAAGAGAGAAGTGGCTGACCAAAAATGTAGAAACAAATCCAGTCAGCCAGTCTTGCAGAGGTAAAAAAGCATTTCTTCTGCATGAGAATATGTTGTTAAAAGCTCTTTCAGCTTAATAATATCAGATGTTCTATCAGATGGAGTGAAAACCTGTCATCTTGATCCTGACAGTTGTCCCTTTAAATGTATTTTATGCTGGGCCCCTAGCCAAAAAAAAGAATAGCAATTTTCTTAAGCTTCAACACTGATCAGCACTGACTAATAGCACTGAATGCAGAGCACGTCATCATATCAATATGTTTTCTGTACTCTGAGCATTCTTTGTGAAATCTGCATTTTTAAGATGTACAGTACACGGGAGCTGGATGTTTAATTCACTATAAAATCACCCTCAAGCTTCAAACCTGCAAACCATGTTAGTTAAATGGCATATTTATAGGTTTACTAGCGAAACTGAAGGAGGCCGGTGGGGAGTTTTTTGTCTGCTACTCTTTGGAAAATTAAAACAAAGCCTTCCTATTTGCATTTAATTTCTTTTGAATCTCCATGTGAATCTCTTTGGCTTGAATCTTTGTCCTTGCACCTAAGCAGGACCCAAGGTACTTGCAAGGCATTTGTGCAACTTGGCCAGTAGCTCTTTTTTTAAGAGGGTTGGGATCTAGTCACCGTTAGGGTAGACCTGCACACTGTATTTCACACCTAAAATCAACCCAAATTTAAGTGGCTGATACTAGCTGACTCACAGGTAAAAGAGGTTCATAACACAAAGCAGAAGGCAATGCTTGGATCCATGCTTGGCACCAAGGCTTCCTCCAGCCTGACCTTGGTGTGTGGTAAGGAGAAATCTGTACCTGGAAGTCCAGCTGGGTCCTCATACCCTTTTCTGCACCCTGGCCATAGTGTGTGTCTGATGTCGAGGGGACAGGCTGGCCAGGGGCCTTTCTCCAAGAGATTACTCAAGGCAATATAGGAATTGTAGGCAGCCAAGAAACAGGCATCCTTTCACCAGCAGAAGTGACTACCTAGACTCTCTTGGGTCTGTGAGCAAGGCGAATCAGTTTAGCCATCCTTAAAATAATTAACAGCATCAGGGCGCATCATATCTTACGAATTAGATGTAAAGTTTTATTGTAAGACATAAATATGTATTTATATATACCCCCTATATAAATCCCAGCTGGCAGGTCTTATCTGCAGTCCCACGTATTCAGCTCCAGATCTGTATATAACTGGCTCATCCCATGCATTCATCATTTGTTAACCCTTTCTGGAGGGTTAACCTGCATGTGGATCCTCAATATGAAGTGTGAATGAAAATGTTCAGTCCTGAGGATTCTCTGCCGAGGAAAATTTCTTCTCCTGGGGGTTAGATTCACACCAGTTTTCTTGCAAGCTTGTAGAGGGAGACGCTTGGATTGCAGGGGCTGGTGGCTGGTTTGGATTCTGAAAAATGCACAGTCTTGGTGTTTGCTTGCATAAAAGCTACAAATACCTTTTAAAGTCAGCAATTCCAAGGAAAAAAATCATTTCAAGCACCTCTCACGATCAATAAACATGAACCTCTTCTTTTTATTGTTGAAATTATTAAATGCACTTAAAGCATTGAAGTATCACACAAATAAAACCCTGTGAAAATGGACGCTGTTTCTTATTCCTCAGCTGCAATTTATTCCGTATGACAAGCTTGCACAAATAAAGCCGAGCGAGTTGGGGAGTGAGAGAAGATTCATTATATTCTTTTTCTTTCTTTTTTTTTTTTTTTTGGGAGCCCAGAAATGAAAATACTTCATTACAAAAATAATTTGCACAATAATAGAAATAAGTGAGTGCACTGCAGACTCTCTGGAGTAAAGCTTTCCTTCTCTCTTTGCTTCCCGCAAACTCTGACAGTCTGCTCATTAACAGTGAATTGGATTTACATGCCATTTCGAGAGGAGAAGAAAGCAGTGCTGTATACAGTATTATACAGTAGCATAATAAGCGCTCAGATTTTTGGTTGGAGGATTTTTTAGATGTGAGGGTGCATTTCTAAGTCTTTTCAGGGTGATTTAAGTTTTTATGATCTATTCCATTTTTTACAAGAGTCCACACAGCTTTAGAGCCATAGATTGGAGTTTGATTAACAGGACTGCATGTGTCCTGGTGCAGCAGTCCAGCTTTTGCGATTTTGGTGACTATGCAGGCAGGAAATACTCTACCAATGCTTCAGGTAAAGCACTTTTTTCATGGGGTTTTGCAAACTCAGCATCAGTATGAATCAAAGGGTGTTAAAGTGATGCCCTGGAATATGCCTTGTCTCCTCCTGAAGGGGAGAGGGCTGTGCAGTCTGAAATAAAAAGCAGGGAAACTTAATGCATTTTTTCTTTTCAGAGCACTCATTACACATCTGCCTTTTGAGTACCGCTGCATTAAGTTGGCTGAAATTGAAAGCTCAGATAGAAGCTGCTCTCTCCAAACATTTCTTAGGAATCTTTTTCATTAGCTCGTATCACTACACGCACAATCCCTTCTTTGCCCTCACCCCTGTCATGATTTCTTACATAGCGGATGGAGGTGAGGGGATTTATCTGTATTGGAGTCTATGCAAAGATGTATTTAAAAGTCTCTCTAACAGAGGATGCTTTTTTCTTAGAAGCTGCGATGGGGAGGCATACGCAGAATGACTAAGGCAGCCAATTACTCCTTTATATAAACAGCAAGCACCACTAGAAAAAGGAGAGAGAGAAAGAAAAATGAGAGACTTCGGTTGGGGGAGGAAGGAGGGAAGGGAGGTTGTAAGTATAAAGTGTTTGCCTTAGGACTTGTCTTCAGTTACAGAGCCAGACTCACATGACTGGAGCTTGGTTTGATGTGGTAATGAAGCATTGATCACAGGAAAAAGATGAAATGGCCTTTGCTCATTCATTATTTTTATCTTCTAGCTGTGGAAGACAGAAAATTGTTCATAGGAATGGTTTCGAAGAAGTGTAATGAGAATGATATCAGGGTGATGTTTTCTCCGTTCGGCCAGATAGAAGAATGCCGAATCCTTCGGGGACCGGACGGGCTGAGCAGAGGTGAGTGTGCAGTCTGTAAAGTCTCTTTCCTTTAGTACTAATTGGGAGCTATATGTCACAGCCAAGGTAGGCACAGCTGCTGTCTGCAGCTAGAGGTTACGCTGTAATACGTCCCACGTGATGAAGGTATCCACATGAACTTTTCACAGTGGCTGAAATTATCACCTTTTATTTCCAGTGTCAGAAAGGTCTCGGTGCCAACGTGTTAACTTGTGTTATTGCCCTGTTTGTCAGCTGGAAAGGTTCCTTCGCACGCTGAGAAAACACCCTCAGCTTTCTGCTCTCACAAAATCAAAGATCCTTCCCTGACCCCATTTCTGCTTTGTAGCATAAGGCCAAAGAAAGAAAAAGGACTGTAAAGACTGAAGGCATACAGGGTCATGGGAACTGGCCCACATTGTAGCACTATCTCCTCCATTCCTGTGTTTTCTGTAACTATATGCAAAACATAGGTCTGCTGTAACTGAGAAACAGAGGTTAGCTTGAACTGAGAGCTTTGCCTAGACAAAAGTGTATGAGTTTTTAAGTCTCGTGCCTCTACCACAACCCCAAAACTATGACAGAGGTGTTAAGCAGCACCACCAAGAGTAGTTAAGGAGCTGACCTGAACTTTGGAAACGACTGGCAGCACAGACTTCCGTAGCCTTTTGAATGCAAAAGTGCCTTTTGAGGCACTCTAAAAACATTGAAAAGAAAAATCAATGTACATTGATGACCCAGGCTGCATATTAACTCCATGGTGTATGGACCTGAAATTATTCTCAGAGCGTGAACCTTCTCAAAAAGTCAGTTCCAGGTGGTGCTGAGTGGATAAGAAAATAGTGGTAGTCCTGCCTGTCAGTGTGAAGGATGCTGTGGCCACGGCCATTTAACAGCATGGGAAGTGAAGTAGTTTCAAGCATGGAGCTGTGAAAACATCGCTTTTGTTTCTGTAGAAAAAAAAAAAAACTAGAAAGCACAGTTTATGCATTTTATTACATTTTCAAAAGGCATGGAAAAAATAATAGTACTCATTTTGCTTATAGGCGTAGGTATAGATGCAGATATTTTTCTTAACTTTTGGATCTACTTGTTTCCAGAAGCCTATAGCATCTGCAGTATTTTGTGCAACAATCTGTGCATGGGATTTTTTTCTTCTATGTGCAGCCCAGCTTCTTTAAAACACGTATACATTTCAGCAGGGGAAGTTGCAGGTATTCCTATATTTCATGGCACTGCATGAAAGTACTTACTATACTACTTCTGAATAATAAGGGCTTCTTGAAAAGACACTCTGACAATAAATAGGAAGCCCCAAGAAAATGATGCACTTTCATGCATGTTTAATCTGTATCCCAAAACTTTTGGAGCTGGGATGTAGCATCGCTTCAGGCAAGGAGAGCCCAGGGATCATGGCTTTTGCCTTGGGGAAGTCAGGGGGCAAGGTCTGAGGTTGGCTCCTGCAGCTCAGTAATGAATGTTAACTGATGGAGTTGAGTGCTGTCATTATTTTTCTAGACCCAACACTGAGGCAAAATAAATATTTCTGATTTTTACTTGATTTAATTTCCTAAGTAGCACAGGGAAGGGGTGATGGAAGACACAGTGGGAAAGGAGCTAAGTAACTGCTGAAATAGCAACATCTGGGCGTCGTATGTTTTGAGCCCCAAAAAGATTTAACTTACTCCTCCGCATCACCCATCAAAGAAATGGTTCTTTTCTGGGATCCATAGAAATCCCACTGCATACTTGTTTTTACTCAACAGACACTGGGCACAGTATGAGCATAGAAAAGCTAATTATGAAATCTAAGAGGGTAACTGAGGTTGGTGGGGCAGTTTTATTCTGTTGTAAATACCCATCTCATGATAATCAGAAGCTGAGATTTTAAGCCATGTCACCAATGTATGAGGCAGGGCAGTGTTGTCTGCTGCCCAGCAGAGCCATAGAGTTAATGTGCTGCTCTCTCTTGCTGGAGGCTGAAGATCTCAGTCCAGGTAGGTCACACAGCAGCAGTCATAGCAGAGCTGCCGCTGGGGTTTATTTCGGTCACAATCACGACTGATATTCTATCATGCCCACATGCATCATGCCTTGTTAAACTTGAATTGCTTTCTACACACCCATGTTCACACTTCAAAATGAGTTCAGCTGTGCCAGCCAGGTTTGCAGGCAGATGTTTATCAGCTTCACAAAACCACCACTCCATGAGAGAAGGCAAAGTGTTGGGAAAATGGTTGATATTGCAGTTGAAATAGAAAGTGCTAAGGGAGCTTTGCAGTGGAGGGAGCTTGGCTGGAAAAGCACAGGGTGAAAAGCTGCTTCACAAAACAAGAGGGAGAATTTATGCGGTTAAGTCTTTGTAACCAATTCCAGTACTTAATGAGTTTTAATTCATGTTACAGTTTCCAAGATGTTAATTCCCTTTGCCACGAACAGTGTTTGTTTTCCCAGCATCCGTCCGGATGCACTTTCCTCCTAGACACAGAGGAGTGAATGAAAAATAGTTACTGTCTTAGGAAAACACTGTCCTCACCATGCCAGAGCCTTTGGGAACTCTCAGTGCTCACAGCAGTGCGATGGAAATACGGTCCAATAAAATCTATTTGGCATCTCTCTCCAATTGCATAACAAGTGCACATCATGGTATCATGGACAAAAAGAGCTTGAAAAGTATATTCGTTAGTATTTATTCCAACTTCTGAGCTTTGTTAAAAGGTGGAGGCAAATAATCTTTATTACCAGCAATTGCAAGGAATAGCTCCAGGTTACACAGCTCAGTAGAACAGTTTTGGTTTCTGCTGGTTGTTTTTATCTTAGTGAAGAGTGAAAAGGTTTCAGTTGACTTTTAGACCATGCCTACACTAGAACAGCAACCTTGCCATTCGTATGGTAGCAGTCTGCTGTCGGCTCCTAGGCAAGAGGTAGGGTTGTAGTGTACCACATGGCTTCAATAGAAAGGAGAAATCCCGTCCTGTGGTGTCAAGGGAAAATGTAACACTTTGTGATGAGCGTGATATAAGTGCTAAGGTAAAGAGAGAAACGGACAGAGATTGAGCTGGTTGTTTCTGTCATAGTTTCTAGCCAAGAATTGGCAGAACTTTAACTAAGTCACACCCATTACTGTCACTACTGATAATGGACTATCAGCATTTCCACTTCAAATTCCTGTTGTCAGCTGTTTGAAACTCATCTGTAAAATGAGACTAAAATAATGATACAAAGCTCCAGTGGTGAAGCAGCTTGTTTTAAAGAAACTGAGATGTTTGGGGCTTTTTTTCCACTTTGTTCTATTCCTGCATCTAAGAAATAGTTGTTTCTATCTGTAACTTGTTAAATTCCAGCCAGCTCCAAGAAATAGGCAGCAACCAAAAGGCATTGACTTCCGAAGGCTCGGGGATAGTCCCCGTGAAATTAGTTGGCTCGCAGAGAGTAATTCCTAGCTGTGAAAAGTATTAAAAAATAGAAATACCCTGTTGGCTATAGAGAGAAAGAAAACAGGGACTCAGCAGACATGGAGGCTGGCCTTGGCTTTAGCAGGGTTCATGGGACTATCTGAACAAGCTTGCCACTGCCTGTACTATATTCATTATTCAAAGAGAAAGATTCAGCCTGCAGGGTTGTTTAATCCAGCACTTTTTCTGAAGAGCTAAGTATGCTTTACAGAAATTCATGATTGTGATATCATGTGCTAAGCTTCATTATCATGAAAAAGCAGAAGTGAACTGCCTCAGATGATTAAGATTTTAAATCACTTATTGTAAAGGGCTTAAGGAAACTTTCAGACCTCCTGACTCCTAGCACTGTGTAGAGTCTACAGTGACCACAGATGCCAACACAGACAGCCATGAAATGATAGCTGGAGTGCACAAAAATAGCCAGAAATACCGAGGTTTAATTTGTAGCTGTGCCTCTGATGTGCTGTACTGACCGTAGGTGAGTTGGCCTCTCATCATCTCCCTTTTGTCCCATTCCTTAAAATGAGGATAGAAATGTTCCTCTACCTTTGTAAAATGCTTTTTTTTTAGATCAGTGGATCAATATCTCTGTATCACTCAAGGAATTATTGCCATCCATAATGATGATAAAAAAATCCTCTTATCCTTATCACAGGAGCACCACACAGCAAATTATTCTGCTGTATTGCTAAGTGAAGATTTGTATAACAGATACCAGAAAGAAGTCAACTGGGTTAATAGCATGCACTGAAAAAACCTGCTAATAACATGTACAAATGGTTGGATATACCATGAATACTGTGCAAAAGCTCAAAATGTATATTTCTACTTCTAGGCTCCTGATTATGTGATTTTTTTTAACAAAACATCATTAGGCACATGGGACAAGTGAACATTTCTGCAGACATTGATTACAAGGAATTTTTTTCTTCCTTTCTTTACTTTAATAGGAAGATTTCATTTAGAAATGGCATAGAGAGTTATACCATGAGAGCTATACCATGGTCAGGCAATTTAATTTCATTAAAATCCATCCATAACTTTCAGATTCTGTGTTTTTCTTGATTAATTAATAAAAGAAAATGAGTATTTCTATCATAATTAATTGCAGTGAAGGGTAGATGAGGAGTTTTTATGACTGTTTTTTTTCCTTATGGATACTTATTGCTCCTTTCTGAGCTAAAGTAATGTGAAGTACCAGCCATGGGAACAGCCTGGATTAGGGGCAACTTTCTGACTTGCGTATCAGTAAGTGATGGAAAACAAGGACAGTGGAAGTGCTGTATCCTTAGTAGTTTTTCAGAAGCACTTCCATGTCTTATTTCTTTTGCTGTAATGTGGTAACATTTTAAGTTTTTCCAGTCATTATGGCACATTTAATTTTCTTCTTCCCCTGCTGAGACTCTTTTGAAGCTGGGAAGGCAAAACACATCCAAGCGACCAGTGGATCTGCTGGCCTTTGGCCAGTAGCTACATCTCAGATTTCCATTACTGCAGCTTTGCAGCAATCCCTCCCCAGAGGGAAGTCTGAAACGAAATCATTTACAAGAGTTTTTATTCCAG